GCATCTCTAGCTTTCACTGAGTCAGTGGGTGGGCATTGATCTGCCTTCCAGCAGGTTAACTGCTGCAAATCAGAAAATACAGTGGGTGGTCCCTAAAGAGGAGGTCAGAGGTTGGAACTGTGGCTCTCCTCGTCTGCTAGTTGTAGCAGTGTTTGTGGATGAAACAACAAAGCTCTAACAAGGCTGGACACTTTAACAGTAAGGTCAAAATGGTGAGTATTATGAATTCCATTTGATCCCACTATGTTTCTTTACTTTGGATAGAAGCTATGCCTAATCCATTACAAAATAGGGACTGAAATTAATTCATAAAGTCTTTCTACACCTTTTTTTCTCTTCCTTTTTTTTAACCACAAATCCAACAAGTGAGTTGTATCAGGCAGTTCATTCTCCTCAGTTTGCACCTAGATTTGACAGTGTGTAATGTCTGCATCACTTAGAAAATACTTAGTGATTTAGCAAAATAAGTTCTACCACAGACAGGACGGCATGGGCACCAACTTTACATCAGCACATCCTGCGTGTAAGCTGTGTTTTGTTGGAGAGGACTGGAATAAAAACAGCACAGTTGAGCTAACAATCGCTCCTTGTCAAATCATAGCGGACTTAAATTTGTGGGTTTTTGTTCTACCAGATCAGATCAACTGCAGTGCGGCTAGCTGGAAGGACAAAAATAGGAAAAAGAGAAATTGTAACTGCAGAAAAGTTAACTATTAGTCATGGTAACAACTCTCAGCCTCACACAGAGAAAATAGAACAAGCAAAGGCAGTTGTCACAGCACTTTTTCACAAAGAATTATAGGCTGTTGTAACTTAACTATCAGTCAGTTGTGGAAATAACATACTGGTTATTTTATTCATGATACACTTTAAAAAATACATTTAGCTCTTTGTTTTGAGGCTTCTCACATTAAGAAACACGTTTTTGTCTAAATACATTGATTAGTTTCATTGAGGATCTAAGTGGTTTAAACATGTACAAATAACAAATGATTTCTATTAATTAATTAAAATAATACAAAATTACAGAAACATTTGTTTCTGTTGTTATGCACAATGTTATACTGCTGTAGGCAGCAATGAATATTCTCACATGTCGAATCAAATCTTCAGCTGAGGACTTTTTTTTAAAATAAATTACACTGTAATTGTGTGTTGGGAAAACCAAAACACACAGGATGTGGAGAGACTGGGGCTGATCTCCGCAGAAAGTCGGGGAAAACCGCAGTCAAGTTGAAGGTTCATCCAAGAGTCAACTGACGAGACAAAAATACATCTGTGCCTACTGTATTTTTAGACTCTCCAATTATGTCCTCAAACTGCGAGTCATTAGACGGTGGGAGGAAGGCCGAGCGGCTCGAAGTGATACCATTCTCAAAGACAACAAGAAGAACATGCAAAAGTCAACAACAACAACCTTTGGTTGACCTTGGATCTGTTCACTGCTCACAGTATACACTGCATGTCTTATTTGTTACTGGGGGAAGACTAGTAAAAGCCTACATAGTTTACAGATGCCACATGTTAAAGCGGCATTGATTTTGCACGTGCACATGGATACACTGTTCAAAAGTCACCGGCTGGATGCCATTTTCATTTCGTTTTATAGCCGTTATTCTTGATATGGGCAAGTTTTTTTGTGCCTGAAGTTGAAGTCAGATGTAGAAATTTGTGTGGCACATGTGTGGGAGTACACATTTGCACAAGACAGGGTGAAAAGCCAAACAGAGAATAAACTTATGACAACTTTCTCGAGGATCTTCATGTAACTGTGAGAAAACTGGCACTTCCCCTTTAAAGGTTGGACAATGGATAAACATGCCCTCGAAGTGTTGTTCTTGCTTTCAGTTAAGAAACTCTGATAATGAAACGAGGGGCAATAACTGTGAGTAAACAGTTGTTTACAGTCACTGTTGTTGATAGTACTGTATGTTTTATGTTTTATGAGAATTTGAGAAATTAATTGCAGGAAACATTTTACCACATCCAAATGAACACTTAGAGGTAAGGTGTAATATTGGCGTGTAGACAGCAGGTGATTACACTGTTATATTTCCCTTACTTCGCTCCATAAAGAGCCAAAACCTCAAGACCTTTTCGGTGTACAACAGTGACTCAAACTATGTATATGAATTTCATATCATCACAAATGCTGTGGGGAAACTAGGTCACACCGTTTCACCTCTGTGGAACAGTTTTTTTTGTTCCCGAGGAGGCCTTGAAATATTGCAATGTTTTCATGATGTGACAGCACAATGAGCAGGTGTCTTCATATTTTAATGCTGTTATAGCCCAGCACTGAGGATCCACAGTCTAGAGGGAGCAACAGTGGTTAGCGGTCTCTCCCTGGCTGTGGGTGAAATTCACAGAAATAGCTGATTATGTGTTGGAGGATGTTTCTTTTTTGGAACAGAAAGATAAGCCATAGGAGAGAGAGAGAGAGTGCAGATTTAAAACAGGGAAAGTCACATGCTGCTGGGACTAAGATGAATGTTCACCCAGGAGTTTGCAGTGGAACACCCAAGTGTATTTAAATGGAGTGGATTTCTGCGGTCACGGGGCTTAAAACTTAAAACTCCAATATTATTTTCAAACACCTCCTGAACTATTGCTATAATAGTGTTCTTTGTAATTATAATTTATGATAATAAGCACATACATATGACTTCTGCAGTAGCTTGTATACAAAATCCTGAAATACGTGTTGTTAATAACACTGGTGCCACCCTGTAGGATTACCATGATGTACCTCCATACAGTGGAGTAACATTAATCCTGAATTATGTCTGGTGTTTTCTTCAGCTTTTAATTTACTACTTAAATAAAAACCTACAAGATTAGTCTGTCCATGTTATTTGCTGCTGTTGTCTGTGCCCCGTTTGGTGCAGCTGCTTGTCTTGAGGCCATAAACTAAGGGGTGTAGTGCAGTTAACTGAATTCTATTGGTTGTCATGAAGAGGTGTTCATTTCTTCCCTACTGATTCCAAATGTTGTTTCAATGTTAGCCTACAGCAGGGGTATCAAACTCATTTCCACCAGGGGGCCACATCAGCAATACAGTTCCCCTTGAAGGGCCGGTTCTAACTGGAAGACTGTATAGACCAGGGGTCCCCAACCCCCGGTCCACGGACCAGTACCGGTCCAGGGATCATTTGGTACTGGGCCGCAGTGGTACACAATGAAGATATGTACTTCATTTTTACTAATTAAATTAAAAATTAGGTTAAGAAACTTTTAAGGTTTTTAAGCTCCCACGGGCCACACAAAATGGCTTGGCGGGCCACATTTGACCCCCGGGCCTTGAGTTTGACACATATGCTGTAAATGGTCAGCCTTATTAAAGGTTTAACACCAAAAAATACTTAAACCACAGCATGACTATACACCACTGTTGACCTGTAATACAAGTACAGCTGGAAGACGGTTGTAGTTGGACGGAGTCCCCTCAGTATTTCTGCTCTTCATGCAGAAACAGAGTTCTGTTGCTCATAAATTCTGCACAGACGACGGGGGAAACTCGGGGAAAACAATATCATAGACCGACAGCAGTAGTCAACAGGCGTATTCCCCAATCTGTACAACCACTGACTTGTCTGTGTCACAGGTTGTACTGATTTCAAACTTCCCAGACTTTTGACTTCTTGAAGGGAGTGTTGTTGTTTTTGTTTTTTTGTTGTTTTGTTTTAACACTATGATTGTACGTCACAGTTAAACCCCTTACCTCAGAAACAGGCTGTACTTATGAACACGGAAATAAAGTGTGTGTCACATTGGGAATGTTGAAGCCCACACTCTGTTGTAAGAGCCATTCACGGGCAACATCTAAAATCACTTGAAAGAAGGCCAAAGTGTTTTTAACCTCTTTGCTGTTACTTAGCAACAAAAACCTGGGAGCTGCAGAGAGGATGGTCAAGATCCTGCAGTATCGCTAATTCAATTGAGGTATAAAAAAAAAAAAAAAGCATTCTGCAGTGCAAAAGCTGGGTGTGACATGGTTAAACAGCTCTAATATGCAGGTTTTTATTCCCAACATATATCCCAAGTATAGCTGTTAGCACACTGGGCTTGCAAGCACAGAGGAAAGAGTTCCAAGTTGATTTATTTTCTTCATTGTCCTTGGGTGACAGAAAAGCGCCTATAAAATTACATGTATTATTATTATCAAGATTTTAATTACAATGTGAACACACATTGGAGCAGAGAAAAGCTGTTTATGTAGGTTGTTAGTCAACCTGGTCATCAACCTCAACCTTGTGACCACAATACCCCCCCTCTGACTTTTGTAAAATCACATCCTAACAACACTAGCCGTAGCTTCTCCAGTCTCCACTACAGAGTCACACATCAACAGTGCACATCTACACAGATTCCAGGTCAGTGACACTCCTTTTATGACGTACATTAATTGTGACTTCCCTGATCCCTGTCTCATCAACAGTGGCGTCAGAGAGGAAAGTGTAAATACTCGGTCTGACTTCTTTATAAATGAAAGTACGTGCTAACGTGCAGCCCCGACACACACGGTTTCATAAATAACAGCTACTCTTTGTTTCCATCTCTCTTTAGCACTGAATAATGGAATAAATCCTTGGAGCATATACAAAGCAACTAACCTGACTTTGGACCCGCGTGTCTCTGCGTAATTCCTCACACAGTTAATGCCTTTTGCATCAACACTGTCATTCAAAGAGCCTCCACGACATCTATCCAATTATCCCTAATTAATTAGTCTAATTACAACAGGGACAGTTTATTTTCCTGTGAACAATTACACTATAATGATGATCTGGAAGCAGGTAATAGCTAAATAAGTGAAGCGGGAAATCCACCGGGGGTCACACAAAGTCAAAGGTGGAGGTGGTAAACATATGGGTGACAGGAAAAGAGATGGGAGCTGAGGGAAATAAAAAAGAAAGGACAGGAAGTGCGACACCTGAAAGACAAAGCCGTGGGTATTTAGTTTGATGCTCCCTATGTACGACAGTTTATAAGAGACAAACCTGAGGAGGAGATGAGCTTCCAGCTGATAGAAGGCTCCGGTTTACCACTGGCTTGACACATGAGGGTGACGTTGGAACCTTCATTTACCACGATATCTTTCGACAGGTTGATGATTTTCGGTGGTACTGCGAAAGAAAAAAATACACAGAAAAATGTGTGAATCCCGAGTGCAGTGTTGACAGACCTGACAGGCAGGAGTCTCACAAGGAATCACACTGTCGCTACACCTGTGAGATAAACAATGATGTTTCTCTCAAAGTGGCAAAGAATTGTGGATCATAAATAATAAGAACACTGGAAAACAACATGCATGTCAAGGCTGAATTATTTACACACATGCCTTTAAGGTAGACAGTCAATAAATTGTAACGTTCTGCAGAGATATCATCTCTTACAGCACACATGATGCATCTCTGAGCTCCCTCTTAAACCACACAGACAAACAGAGGGCAATGCAAATGTCTGCAACTGGTTTCTGACCGACACACTTGATTTAATGGAAAATATCTTCGGAGTGATCGGAGAGCGCAAAGGTTTGTTAGTCACAAAATGAGGCCTGGTGATATTTATTGCTGGCATTTGCTGTCTTAAGGCGATGGAAACACAGCAAGCAAAAAAAAAAAAAAGTCTGCAGTCACTGTTGTAATTTCTCACCACTAATTAAACACCACAAGATGTAATTAGCACCTGACTGACTTTTTAGAGTTTATTAAATTAGAATAACCTCATGCAGATAAAGCTCACCTTAAACACCTGGTATCATGTATTGCACATGATAGGGTTGGTTGGTATTTTTAATATTTATGTCTTTTTCATGTGATTAAATTTGATTAATCCTAAATATTCTGTATATTGCTAGAACAGAAAGATATATAACTGCAGGCAGATGGGAGTTTTTCACACCTGTTTTATTTGTGACTAATCCAAATGACAAAATTACTGATAGAGTATTACTTATTTTGCTTCACAGAGTTGTAAAGGTGCATCTTGGTTATTTTCAACAATATTAAATCAGTTTACAGTCCCCTCTCACAATCTCTCAACAACTGTGTCAGCCAGTCTGTCAGTTGTAGACTAACTGACTAGCCTGTGTTTGTTGCTGCTCTGACATGAGCCCTGCGTCTAAATAGAAGATGATGCCACCACAAAAGCATGCTGGATGTTGTGCTGGTATTTGAAGCCTTTGGTGATTTGGTAAATGGACGGTGGAATTACTGGACATTTCATTCTCTAATATTAATATGTCATATAATATTATATGTTTTAATCAAAATAAAATACCCATGCATTAATAGACTGACAGGTTGTAGTTTTGTACCATTTAAATTTTATAGTCACCAAAATGTTACGATTAACTAGTTCAGCTATTGAAAATATTCCTGTGTGGAAAATCAAAAAATAAAGAAAAATAAAATGTATCATTTCACTTTTTTTTTAAACTGTCATTGCTTTGATTGACAGTGTTTAAAAAACTTAAAAATGATTAAATATTTCTTATACTGTGCAGACGTATGGTATAGACAGAGAATGGTATAAATATGGTATATTCTTCCTCAAGTAAAAATGAAGTCTATGAATGACTAACCAGGAATACTTGTCATTCATGAGTGGCTGCCACCTATCTCACACACACACTTCTAGGGAGCAGAGGTGAAACCGAGGGGCATGTCTACCACATGCAGACGTATGTGAAATTAGGCCAGAGGAGAACAGAAGACGCTGAGAGCAGAGATAACACCCAGTTACCAGTAGAAACTTTTCTCTGAATGTTTCACAGCACTGGTTTTCAGAGGTGAATGACTGTCAGTCTGACACATCACGTCTCGTTAGGGCGGCACAAGTCTCTCGGTCGCCGCTCATAAAGAGCAGCATCCTCGCGGTGACTTTAATACACAAACAGGCAGAGCAACAGCAGCAACAACCCAACGATGTCCATGCATGATTCAGCTGTTTACTACACTGTGGATATTGAAAATTCAATAAATATGAAACAGAGGTGGCTGTGAAAAAGTCCACACACATACACACATACACATCTCCGGTTGTTGTATAATTATGAGGAGGAGAACAAAAGTATCTCATAGGGGTGAGGGAGACCAGTGTGTGAACAGAAACTTCTTGAAGCTGGTCCAGGGAACACTGTGATGTACTCACCAGTAATAATAATCCCATAATAAACAATTGTTTTTGAGAAGAGCTCTACATTCCACTTCCTGCATGTTCTTCAGGGCCAGTGGAAATCTAGCTTACTGTATGTCAGAAAAAAGTTGACAAATCACCTGGTGGTTCAGAAAGAAAGTGCAGCCCTACATTGTATTAATGGTCCTCCTAGAAACAAGCAAAACTATTGCTAAAGTGAATTAATTTATCTTACACTGAGCCGGAAAATAAATCTATCAGTGAGGTAAGACATTTTTGCGTGATAAGAATTTTTAAAACTTCTATGGAATTCTAATCTATCAAAATCAAAAATGGATAGAATAATCTCACACTTAAGCAAACATTCTTGCTGATCTACTACTTCTACAACCTCAAATTGTGTCTTGTTATTAATTGATCAAATTTGGCCAAACTTAAATTCCTGAAAATTACATCAAATCTTATATTAAAAAAAACATACTCACAAGATTAAATGCCTTCTGGTGAAAAACTAAGGTTAATATCCTTGACACAGGGCCTTTTTTTTAAATATCTTGAAATTCCCTTTTTTTTGCAGTGTACTATCTGTTTCAATGAAGATGAGTGACTTCGACAAGATGTTCAGTTTAAAAACACGACTTTTCAGTAGTAACCCTTTGACTCACACTTGTCAAATGAATACATGTGTATACAATACACATTTTTTTTATTTTGAATGTCACCAGTCATCCCTTTATATTTAGGATGGCCATCTAAAATAAGTGTCGACTTTGTGGTGACGCTGATGTGCCCTTTTTCCGACAGCTTGTCTCACAGTACTTTATAAAGTTTTCTCAGCCTTTGCTCCGACGATGAAGTGCCAAATGTGGTCTTTTGTCAACTGCTTACTCGAGGTAAAGACTTCCTTCGGCAACAACCAGTTATTATGTGCGACATTGTATCTGTATCTTCTGCACAGCTGCTTCGATAAGTACTGCATCCAACATTATTTGCCACGATAAGGCACAAGATTTTTTATTTTTTTAACACAGACTATACTTAAAGCTGTCAGAAACAAAATTAAAATAATGCCTGGCAATGTATCTGAATGAATTAGGTGTGTGACTCCTTTTTAATCTCTGCCCATTTGTTTCCCTCTTTCTTGTTTCCTCCTTTGTCTCTGCAAAACATTTTTATCATGTGTCTAGGGTGTGTTGTATAAATAAACCTGCCTACGTTCAAAGTATATAAAGCTAACCTAGATATTTCTGCTTCTGGAGAGTTTAAAAATATGCTGATCTCTTTTATTTTCCTGTGCAGACAGGAGAACATCTAAGGGAAGAAATAATGCAAATAAGACAGATTTTGCCATATTAGATTACAACAAATGACAAAAAAAAAAAAAAAAAAAATCCCAATTAAACATCTCATCCTGTAAAGATTTGTCTTTGAAGCTCTATCAAATATGGTGAAGCTGAACAAAGGATAAAATATGAATACCACAGTTTTGAAAGCAGGGGTTGATATAAACGGGGTCTAATACGGTTCTCTGGTCACCAAGGTTATTTTTTTTTCTCTTCTTTTAACTGTGCAGCAAACAGCAGAAGGACACAGGGACACAGTGACTAGTGAGTTTACTGGAGCGTTTAGCCTGTAGAGTTCTTTTTTTCCCTCAGGGGTTGGTGGAAACCAAACTTGCATCAGCCGACATGAGGCACAACTCCAATAAATTATCATGTTGATATTTAACTGCTACCAAACAGTGGAAACACAACCGAGGTGTACAGTAGTTTGCTTTCTTTTACCCACTGTGATTTATAGTTAGAAACAGATTAATTACTACTGCTTTAGGAAATGATAAGAATGCAATATAAGGTACAGTAAATGTATTTTGTGTAAGACATTTCTACATTAAGAATAAATGCGAGGATTAAATGAGAGTAATATGAAATATTCTACAGAATTTCACCAAACAAATGCAATTCGCATAAAATAGTTTAAGTTTAGTTCTACAAGTTTTCCAAAGTTTACAGCACCAGGGTGTGTGAAAGATCACACTGAGTATTTGCAGTTATCAGTTATTAGTGTATTGGTCTCTGCCCAGGATGCTGACATCTCGTTATGTGAAGTGTATGCCAAACCACGTTCAGTATTGATGTAGTACAAATTAATTCAAAGACAAGTTCAGATCCTTGGTACTGGGAAACAGATCAAAGGTGAACACACACGTGTAGAGCGATAAACACGTCAATACTGTTGTCCAAACAAACAAAAACTAATTTTCTCGTCAGAGGACTTTTCATTAAGAATGACGTCTGGCTTTTGTTTTGAGGTAAATAATATTCTCATAGTACACTCCTGCATACCGTGTTGTACTTACACTTGTTGCTTTATCTACCAGCTACAAAACATATTGATTTTTGAGAACAACAATTTTTCATAGCCACACTCTCAAACTGAAAAAAATATGAGAAGAGTGTCCTGTGAGGCATGTTTACACAAAGTGGCAAAAAGATAATCATTTATTTATGTATACAGAAAATAAAGGTCGATGTGAACTCTGAATGGAAGTTTTCACATTCACTCGCAAAACAACAAATCAATACCTATTTGGTGAAGAGGTTCACATATTAAAAAAAAGTGTCTCAAAGAAGAAATGCCTGGAATTTGAGGTTATATAAAAACAGTCTGATTAGAGTGTTTCATCCAGTGCTTGGTGCATGGACTATTTAAGAGTTTTGGTAAATTTTGGATGAGCAAATATGGGTTGGTTTTGACTCTGGACTCCTTTTCACCAAACATACTAAAAGATATTCTCAAAAATACTTCAAGTCGAATAAGACAGAAGTTCATGGTCTGTCCAGATGTGCCTAACATCTGCTTTTCTGCTTCTTTTATGTCAATTCTTAAAAGTAGTTCCATGATCCTTGCCTCGCATGCCTTTTTCTAAAAAACTTTTTTTTCCCACAAAAAGTGTTTTAGCATTATTTAGTTCCAACTCTCAGTCAGTTTCGCACAACGATGGCCTCACCACATCTGCACCAATTAGATCTATGTGGCTGACCATGGTACTGCGACGTGTATCTGACATGATGGTAACCCCAATTTGAACTTTGTAACAAGCTGTGACTCAGCTGTGCTTCACAGAGGCTGAACTTTGGCTGAACTGCGTTTGAGCAGTACATTCAATGTGTCCTTTGATACAGCAATATGACTGTCTTTAACAGCAGGGCTGCTGCTGCTGTTGTTGTTGACTCCTTTGAGAGGATTTATCCAGGGAAGAAAGAAGAGTAGTGTAAACACGTCTGTTTTTAGGTCCTTTGTGTCCTCTGGATAACGAAGGAGGAAAAACGGACCAGGTTTAGACCACACACGTGAAAGAAACAAATGATAATTGTAAATAGGGTTTACAAAAAATAGGGTAACATAAGTGAAGCATGAAAAATTTAGTGAAGAATTTATCAACACTATATTTACAGCATTATTATTATTATTTATAAAATAACTGCTCTTACATTAATTTATAGTTAAGTTGTAATTTCCTATTATTGTCTGTAATTGATTATTACATTATTAATTACCCCTCCCTGGCCCCCAACACACACACACACACACACACAAACAACTCCAAAGACAGACCGTCTGTGTGACCACTGTGGTTCAAACTGGGGTTCTTCTTCCTGTAAAGCAGGAGCACCACTCTTCTAAACAATACTTGCTCTTCCATTAAATCCAGTTTAAACTATTTACCATGCACTTCCATATATACACATCTTGATTACATTTAAATGTATGCAAATAGACTGCCCACATTTAATTTCCCATCAGGATGTAAATGATATTTGTGTCGAGTGCACCGCTCCCTCAGCTGTTGCGTTAACGTTATTGTTCTGAATTGACATTTAACCTCGTTTTTGATCACATTGACCATTTTCAAGGGCATCTGTGCATAACGTGTCTGACAGTACAATCAATCAGTGGTCGGTCAGAATTTTTTAAATGTTGAATAAAAAATTACATTTGCATTTGAATCTTGAGATTAAAATTTTTTATGAACAACGCTCATATACCAGATACTCCAAAGATAAGCTTGCACGTACTACAGTATAATGTTGTATATAGGATGCACATATTGTGGAATAAGTAGAGGCTCAAGGAAGCCTTGACCCTCTTGGAAGACATGCTTGAATACACAACTAACTTATTGATGTCGGCAAATATATAATATATACATGGCCATATACTGTACACAGAGCCTCAATAGGGTTGGATATCAACTGTGCAAATGAATGCCATATCGTAAATTATGTTGAATTTCAAATCCATACACTGCTCAATGTTGTAGAACCACACTGGAAAATGTGTCGGTGACACAAAGAAACAACAGGAAGGATTTCAGTGTCAGCTCCACAAACCTACAGCACGTACAGCTGCAATGATTTATTCATCTGTTTTCCTTAGGTGCCTCGTGTTTATCAGTTTTTCCTTGGCATTTTTTAACAGTCCGCTGGCATTTCCATATCAAAGTAACAAGGACACAACTCTATTTTACATTTCTGGGTGATCACCAACTGTAAAAGTGTTTATAAAGTGTCACCTCTGCTTTGTTTTAGTTTTATCAGACCTGTTTGTTGACAACATTCCTATGAATAATTTACTGAATGTCAGTCTAATCCTCTTTCACCTCGTTTGAATGACAAAAAGAATGCAGCAAATGTTCCGGCGTTGCTTCTATTTCCTTTGTATCGCAGAAGGCCAAGGGACAACATCTGTTCATGACATCAGAACAGACTCGCTGTTGTTTCAGTGCACACTGTCAGGCTGTGAAATATGGGACCATGTTGGAAATAATACCAATTGTAAGATGAGTAATGAGGAATTAAATCCAGTGTGAACAGGCAGAGTGACGGCAATTCTCATATCAGAGAGGTTACCATCAGTTTTCAGGTCAAGTAAACCTCACCTCTTTGCAGATTCTCCTTTTGTGACAGATGAAATAAATATCGCTACATATGAAAGGGTTTCTTGTTTATTTGGAGCAACAACCTTTGATAGCCTGATGTGTAATTTAGAAACATGGGAGGGACATTTTACTGCTATAATGTTTTAAATGTTAACAATTTCTTTGAAATATTACATTATTATTTTAAGCTGTAAAGACTGAATGGGTTGTGAAAAATGCATGATATTCTATAGGTAGGGATGGGAATCAATGAGAATTTACAGGTTCTGATTTCATCATTAATATGACTCAATTTAATTCCTAATCATTTCTAATATCCCTTCTTAGGTTGGAAAAAATACAGTAGAAATAGACTTGTTAGCATTCATTTTTTTATCTGTATGAATAACAATTGGTCATTTGGTTCTGATAAATTGAAATTTCATTAAAGATTAAATTACATGCTGTAGATATTTCATTGTCAAAGCTCTGTATGTCTCAGCCCTCAGTGTCTTTTTTCAGACTATTTTAATTACTCTGAAGCTAATTAGGAAGCATGCATGTGATGTCATCAATCATGACCTACTTATGCACTTTAAGCCAACAAGTTGGTTTTTACCCAACATAAACTGGTAAGAATTTGAATGTTTGATAGGATGTTCTAATGCTATAGTTTTGGAACAATGTACAGTATGTCTTCAAGTGGACTGAACATAATGTCAGCGTCTGCATCCACAAAAGCTTGAATAGCCTGTGCATAAGAGAAACTTTAACTCATTTTCAGTTCCATATGCTCCCACCCACTGCAACCATTGTTCAAACTTAAAAAAATAGATTTTGTTGTTAGACTTAGCAATGACTTACTGAAATGTTATCGTTGAAATAAGAAGGCTGAAGAATATGAGGAGCTGGTTTTTATTTAATTTACTTATTTTGTTGAAAGACAATAAAAAATGTTTTATTTCAGAGAGTTTTTTTTTTTTTTTACTTTTAATTAAATAATAAATAAAAATCTGGCTGATTAAATCAAGTTCTTAATTCACACAGTATTACTGAATTTTTGCTGGCAAAGAAATCCTGCCCAAATCACAGATCATTCTCTCATGCTACATCTCCATGTTTCAGTGTTACGTTTGAAAGACTAACCATCGTAGCATATGATAACGAGCTTCATAACGAGCATAGTCTTGTTGATATGGGAGTTATGATCATATTATCACACATAAAGACACACATAAAGGGCAATTGATGGGTCAAAGATGGACTCTTTTTTTTATGAACCATATTAAAGTACATGGAATGTATTATGAGACAAATTAATTTTTTTGTTAGATTTTTAGGTGTCTGTCTTTATTAGTCTGTGACTGGACATGACAGCAGTCATCAACAATGCTAATGTAAGCAGAGGTGAGTCATTTCTGCTGCAGAGTTCTCACAGAGTTCACTGGATAATAATGGCTGAGAGAACAGTAGATCCTGATTACTCACTGCTCCATAAGCAAGAGTTCGTAGACAGAGGGGGAAAAAAATAACACCATTAACCTTTTCTCAGCCTGAACATAATGTAAATCACCCTGGTTAATGACCGGAGAGGTTGAGCTGCTGGTTGATGCCTGCATTTAGACTGCAGTGACCTGGTGTTGACATCAGGCAGTAGACATTTAACTATTGAGCCTGTGGACACATTCATATGTGCAATGAATATGAAGACACAGTGACAGCTTCAATAACCTTCTTGTGTGGAGCCTCACAACTAGATCCTCACTCTGAACCTGCCCCACAGACGCAGAAGATATTCTGTTCCTTATTCTCAAACTGGTTCTCCCTCAGAACCTCATTATCAGAGTTAGTGAGGTTGCACCCTTGTGGAGTGGCAAGGTATTGTACCACAAACATATACTGAAGCAGTTCTAAATCGTTTCTAATAAATATAAAATTCAGGGTTACCTTGAACGAGGACATGCACCGAGGTGGTTCTTGGTCGACTGTTTGTCTGGACAGCACACACGTACTGGCCTTCATCCATCATATCCACATCTTCTATCTTGATGGTAAACTCCTCTTGATTAAGGGTCACCAGACTCACTCGGTGGTCCACTGACCATTTCTCTTCACCGGCATACAGAATACTGGAGCGGTTGAGCCATGCAGTGTGTGTAACAATGTCCCCCTGTTCACACCTGTAAGAGAACAGCAATGTTAAAAATAGGAAATAAAATGAAATAATTAAATTGGACATTTTAACACTTCCTTCTTTAATCATACAGTTAACTCAAAGTCATTTAAAATTGTTCTATAACTGTGTTACTGAAATGAATGTTAATTGTGAGAAAGTAGTAAATAAATCTCTTAAAAAGTCTTAAATGGTTCAAAGTAGGTAATAAGACTAAGTAAATACAAGTCAATTTGTGTCTTAAATGGAATTAATATATTTGAAGTGACTTCATGAGCAATTAAAGTTTCTAAAAATGCAAAAATGTAATATAAAAAAACACTTCAGATGAACTATCTGTCTTGGATTGTGACATTTAGCTGTTACTAAGACAGTGAGCTGGAACTGTACTGTAATTATAACAGCCTGCTTTGTTTGTGGTTCTTTATGTTTAGTGTACCTAATGTTCAATTTCTATCACAGATGCAAGCTGAACATCTAAAAATAAATACATTTCTATTTAAAAAGCCCAAAACATGTTCTTTAAAGCCGTCTTTAGTCACAAAAATCTGCCCAATTAGTCCAAGTCCAAGTGAACATTTGTGCCACATTTAAAGGGATTCCCACAAGGCCTCTTGCCTCTGGCCATGACTGTCACTGGCAAGGAGGCATAAAGCCCAAGATGCGAGTAAGTGTGGCACTACAGAAGGAATTTCATCCTCACACTGTATACTTCTAGGGGCCAAAAGCTGTTTATAACTGGGTTTAATTAACCTTCCTTGGACTAATTTTCCCAGTGTAAAGAGGAGATTTTACAATTTAAACAGCTGAGAGTAGGGGGCAAATGTAAGCTCCACACTTTTGGGGCTGAAAGACTCTCAGCTCCATTTACGCTGTCACGGCTTTTGTTACAGCATCACTCTCTTCCACTTCAGCAGCTGCGGGAGGGTCAATGGTGTCCTTAGGGTATTTATGAAACTGTGGTGGTGAAAAATCCCTGTGTGTGTGTGTGTGTGAGCTTGCACAAATAATCAATACCCAGGAGCTGCGGTTTTCAAAAATAATGGATCACAGTGTACATGAGACGGTAACGTCATCAATTTTCTCTGATAAAATCGATTCTGGCTAAGGTCTTTGTTTTCTAATGGCTACGGTAAATTAATTTTCTAAGCTGTAAATACACTACACAGCACCCCCACTGCAAAATATAAAGCTATATTAATAATAGCATCAACAGCAGGGCTCCCTCCCATTGTGGGGCTTCAACTGCACAATGTTTTTCTTGTCCATAACTTTTTTATGACTACACCTGATTGGTCACCAGTTAGTGCAGACTCATAATGACTGACATTTCTAATCATAAGACAGGAGATCTTTTGTTGCGAGTTGCAAATTAAATGACTGAAATATGACTCTCGTTAAATGAGAACGATAATTGCTGCTGATGTGGAGGATTCTCACAAACACACAAGGACACGGGACACTGGAGATACACAAAGATGCTCAGACCGGTGGTAAAAGATGAAACAATTTTACATACTGCCTCCTCTGTGAATGTGTGTCTACCCTGTGTGCTTTAGTCTGTGTTAATGTCATTACTTGAGTACGTTAGTGTTTCTGTAAAAATAGGTGAGGAAAACATCTTTGATTCTTGCTGAAAAAAGCAAATCTCACATCTTCACAGAAAAAAGAAACTCCTAGAATATACCTGAAATTTACATTTTAAGTACAGTGTTGAAAGTGGAGGAGAATATAAAGTGCAAAGATTTTTTACTGTTTGCAAGATTTGAAATAAATATCGAGCATAAAATGCCCTGGCCTAACCATATTTTGACTGCACACATGAGTGGAATCCTGTTAAACAGAATCTATGACTATAAATGTGCAGCTGTTGAAAGAAAAAAAAATCACGGTAAAAATAAATTTTCAAGAACTCAGCGATCAATTTCGTTCCATTTCAGTCTTCAAAGACAGTGAGCGTGTTACAAAACCACATATCTGCGGGTTTTTCAGTTTAATTTAGGAAGGTCAGCGTCACGGTAACGTGTATCCTGGCACTGTGTTTACACTACCTTCCAATTCATGAGCAACACTTTGCATCTGTTGTGAGTGGGAGTGGGAGTGATGACACGTTAAGCAAGATGGTAGTACAAAGCAAACCATTAGGATATAAAGGTTGCTGTTTTTGATCCTTCAATGGTCATTAAATAGTGAGTGGTGCTTCAGTATCTCCTTGATGTGTTTTATTCGACATCGGTGAAGTTCTTTCAAACTCGCGTGCCAAAATTCCTCCCGACATCTCAACAGAAATATATCTATTCTGCCATCAGTGCTGCTCAAACCCTCCAACGTTTGCATTCTTTTGTGCATATTTGAAGTGAAAGTGTTTCAGCAGCCTTGTGTCATACAAATAGTCTAATGGTGTGATGTTTTGTTTCATTTTAACATTTGAGGACTTAACAGATAATGAGGCTGTGAGGAGGCTGTGTTCACTGATCTGTTCTGTGGCTGTAGGGAGATCACTGCCTTACATTTGTGTAGATTTGATAAGCAACGATGTTGAAATCCTTTTCTATTTTGCCCTACCAGGCTGTTTATATATATTTAGTTTTGAATATGTGAGTTTAACATAAACTACTGTTTAAATCAGAGAGGTTATGTAGATGAAGTACAAAGATGGGAAAGATTTTTTTTTCTTGTGAGAAAGAGTTTGAATGAAAAGAAAAAAACACCTGAATTAATAATGAGACTTCTTCTTGACAGGAAGAGGGCGCTTTGAGTGGAGGTGAAACTGTATACGTGAGCAAACTCCTTTTCCTGTCTTTGCCCTGTTTTTCTGACAGTAATGTGCAGGAGATTAAATATACATGATGCTTGTTTCTCCACAATTACATGTCACTGGTAGACTCTGTTTGCACTCCGGATCACTTGAGCTAATGTTTACTGCTCTGTCATCAGCAGCTTAGCTTTCAGTAATGCAGCCCTCATCCCCGACAACATTCACTCACTAAAGAGATTAACACCCTCTAATGACTTACACGCACTGGAAGTGCCGCAGCTCGGGCTGCAAGGACAGCAAATCGCGCCACTCAACGACGACGTCCATAGAGGCAATTACTTCGGGCTAACAAGCGTAGGTCACCACTATGCAAATAAATGAGAAGGGGCCGAACTGCACTATTAAAGTCTACTGATAACTGTAAACTGCCGCAGAATGAGGAACATTCTGGAAGTAGGGTAGCATTCAATAAAGGGTTGTGAAATAAGGAACTGGTTCAAGAGGCTAAAGTAGTGTGTGAAATGTTATATGTCTTACATATATATCATACATAACGTAATCATTAATACGATTTAAATTCAGAGAATCGAACTTGACTTGTATTACAATAGATTAATATGTTTTTTCTGTGCCACAAACAATTTGGTATTTGAGCCTGACTATTTCCAAATGTTTGTTTTTGGAATAGCAGGCCTTCAACACCAGTTAAATGACATGTTTGCACATCAGTGCCATTGTTTGTGTTTCACAAATTCTCAATCCAAACATGGTTAAATGATCCATCACCATTATGAGGAGTGATTGCCAGGGGGAGCCATGAATAAACCATCACTTTTCACGAATTAAAAAAATTAAATAAAACTGAATCTAAAACATCTAATACAGTCTGTGAAAATAGAACATGGTGATGAATTTTACAGTGCTTCATTGTTTAACTCCAGCAAAAACTGGATCTTGTAAAAATCAACAACAACAACAAGTAAATGGAGACATTACGAGACACACAAATGATTCCATGATGTAATTAGGGCAAAGTAACTTTTCCAACAGACGTTTACAGAGCTGTCCATTAGCACTAATGTCTCTGCCAGGATTCGGCCAAGTGCCTTTTGCTGTATGGGCAAAGTACATGAAACAGCACTTTAGACAGAGATGGTCAGCCCCAGACATCAAGGCTGAAGTTCCTGCATGTTTTAGTCTTCCCATCTAACCAGGTATGACTTCACTCAGCCGCCCTGTTCTCTCAGTAAATTGACTTGACTATAGTCAGCTCCTTTAACTGTTGTCTGCTCTCTGAAGTTGCTGCTCACAAAACTTTGAAGCACGTGTCACTGAAATGTTAGACACGTCATATTCTGTTTCCATTCCAATGAGCTGTCAAGGCATGTCAGAGGGTGGTCTGGGTTTAAGAGATGAAGTGGTAGGACAATAAAGAATGAAATGTGATGGATTGCTGTGATGGCTGATAAGGTTATTGCTCTGGTTTTAGAAATATTTGTGGTACATGGTGTCAATCGAAAATTAAATAATAATAAAAAAGAAACACGGTCTCTAACTGAATATCGTGGTAACTGTATGCCACATTAACCAACTATTTTTTTCTTTTCTTTTGCTGTTAAAAACAGTTAATAAAGGCTTTTAGAAATGGAATAAAATGGATGTTTCCCCAATAGTTCAAGGTAATTTCATGGCTTTTATGTTTCAGATGAATGGAAAACATGCTGTTTTAATGAATGGTATCAATGGTACTGTTGTGCTGTTGTGAATAACACAAAAGTACAAAAGACAGGTATCTGTTTAGCAGGGGGTATGGAGCATATTGCTTTGTACGTCTGCTTAAATAACTGACATGAGTGAGCTCACAATTCTGAAATAAATATATAATAATATAATATATAAAAAATATAATAATCATTACATTCAATTTGCTCAACAAAACCCCCCCCCCAAACTTCATAAATGCGTTTCTGTATATTTTGATGGATGGATGGATAAAAAGTGAAGAGTAAAGAAAACAGCACCATCAGGCCTTGGCCAAATTTAATAAATAATTTAACAGCACAGGATTTGAAGTTGAAGTCAACGGGAATCCCACATTCTGACGGACCCTCTGCCTCAATGTCACCCTGTCCTAGCTTGTAGGGGTCCGGGGTTCTGTTGATGGGGTCACATCATTTCAACAACTATCAGAGATGACAAGATAAGCGGTTCTCTTTGCAGATGATGCGTTGAGATTGTGTTGTGCTACC